CAGAATATATACCATATCATTTCACAATGTATCTGTAAAAGAGATCACCGGCTTCTTGTTTATGAATTTTAAAACCACTTTTATAGAAAAAATACATCAGAAACAAAACAATGCCATACACTTCTTCAAATGGAAGAAGAATGTAATAACTCTTGTGATCTTTTGTCCACCTGTACCTGTTCAAATGGAAATTCAACTTTGCCAATAGCAAGGTACATTGTTCTATTTTTCTCTTTCTATATTTATTTTCATTTCTAGAAATAAGGAGAATCCAACTGGGGGCTGAAGGGAAAAATGCTAAGCAAAGAAATGATGGTGAGATTAGTGAAGTAGAAAAAAATAAGAATAGTTAGAAATTCCAGACAATGGGGCTGAGTTCAAGATGTGACCTCAGTTGTGAGATGGTGTAAGACATCTCTGTATCTGAATTCATAGATTATTCAAGCCAAATTTTGTACTATGTCTGTGTATTTAATGTGCAGAAAAGGTCATAAATGTCATTGACCAGAAGAATTAACTCCTGTAGAACTTCTGGCATTGTTTTTCCTCCACTGAGTTCCAGGATTGAAGAAATGTTTATTTTAGCAAGTGCTTGCCAAATGTATTTCTCTCTTCTTCTTTTTTTTTGCTTCATTAAATAGTGTTTCTTTTATTGTTTTATATGAATCATATTAGGGCAGTATGTATGAATAAATAGACAGATATAAACTGATAGCTTTTAAATCAATTGATGAATACAGTCACATTTTAGAATTTGATTGGTTCTTTCATGGATCATGATTCAATTACAGTACATATTTCACACTGCATAATAACTCGAGATAAAACAAAATGTGTGGGAAAACCCGATTTATCTCCTGCTGATGGCAATGCCTACACAAAGGTTTGCTTAGATGAGTCCAGGGAGAAGAGCATAATGGTTAAAAAAAAATTTGTTTTATAGGAATAAGTATAAAGAAAGAGAAACGATCATCACATCTGTTACATAATTTTTGTTTTTACAAGTTGCTTTTTAAGGAGAAAAGAAGCCATAGACATAATGCAGACAAGATATTTCTGAAACAGAAGCTTGCCTTTCATCTAAAAGTGTTCAATATTAAGATCTAAAACAACCAATGGTGCCTTGGATCTGGCAGGATCAACCTCAGTGAACCTGCTGATAATTTCTTCATAACTGTTTCTGCTGTCTGTGAGGGATCAGGAAAATATGTACTTGAGTTTGAGCTGTATTTCAGCACTAGCAGCTGGCATCAACCACATGTGGCCATCTCCTTAATGCCTTCTTTACTCCGATGAATATTTTCCTGATTCCTAGTGGACAATCACTTGAATATGAGCCAGCAGTGTGTTGCAGCTGTGAAAATAAGCCAACACAGTCCTAGGCTGCATTAACAGAGGGATAGAATGAAGGTCACATGAAGTGTTAGTACTTTATAATGCCTTGGTAAGGTCACACTTGGAATATTGCATCTAGTTAGGTTGCCACAATATAAAAAAAAATGCCGAGACTCTAGAAACAGTGCAAAGAAGAGCAACAAAGATGATTAGGGGACTGGATGGTAAAACATGTAAGGAATGGTTGCTGGAATTGGGTGTGTCTAGTTTAATGAAGTGAAGGATGAGGGGTGACATGATAACAGTGTTCTAATATCTCAGGGGTTGCCACAAAGAAGAGGGAGTCAAGCTATTCTCCAAAGCACCTGAAAGCAGGACAAGAAGCAATGGGTGGAAACTAACCAAAGAGAGAAGCAACCTAGAACTAAGGAGAAACTTCCTGACAGTGAGAACAATTAATCAGTGGAACAACCTGCCTCCAGAAGTTGTGAATGCTCCAACATTGGAGGTATTTAAAGAAGAGATTGGACAACTATTTGTCTGAAATGGTATAGGGTTTCCTGCCTGAGCAGGGGGTTGGACTAGAAGAACTCCAAGGACCCTTCCAACTCTGCTATTTTGTTATTCTAAAACTACATAGCCATTGTAGAAGCCCATTTATATGGCCATCACAGAGCTCCAAGAAAAATATTGCTCCTTTAAGGTATTGTTGACAAAAACAGTGAGGATCCTTGCTCTAAAATCTGAACTACTTCTGCTTCTTTCAGTTCTGAATATGGATTAATTTTGCTTTCAATTTTAGAAATCTACAATACCTCCAGATATGCCCATCCATATTTCCAATATAAAAAAATGAGGCAGAATGTGCATTTTGACAGGCATGGGAAAAGTATTGATTTATCTCTGAAACCCAGATGACCTCACTTGGCAAAATGCTAAAACAAAAAATGTTGTATATGTAATCTACCCTAAATTGTTTTTTTTTAAAAAATGGGATAAAATGAATAATGCTATATTAATTTCCTTCCTTGAAGTTTTGACTCCTTGTTCCATTTTCTCTCCATCCATGGAACACCTTATATAAAGTAAGGTTACAAAAATCCAGTTAGCCAGTGGATGGAAGTCAAGATATAGGTGATGTAGTATGATCATTCTGATCTCAAAAGTTTCCAATTGCTATCAAATGAAAAAGAATCATCAGTAAACTCTATTCCCCTTTGAATTAACAAATTCTGAAATTATACATTCCCTTCCCAATAAACAATCTTTTATTTTATCAATCAGTTGCAAAAGGCAGCTTTACTTACATCCTTTCATTATACATTTAACACCATCAAACAAAAACATTTGCCTATCCCAGCTCTTTGGAAAGGAGTTAATAAGTGGATATAAATGCCAAATCCAATTTAAATATCTGGGTGACTGTGCTACCAACCATAATAGTAGCAATAATAATTTCTTGTATGCTGACAGAATCTCACAACTCTGAGTGGCTCACAATAATCAAACAATTACAGCAACATCAATAAAACATAAAAGATAAAAAAAATAAAGGGTGGCAAGCATGAGAATATTTAATGTCTTAGTTTTGAATCATAATTTGCAGTGTTCTGATCTAAAACGGGGGCATAACTAGATATTGCCAGAATAATTTTTCTTCCAGTAAATAGGCAGTTAAAGACAAAACAAGAGAAGAGAAATTAGAAAAGTATGCATCAACTGTTAAATTTCTGTTAATATTAATAGAAAAATAAAAAATGGCATTTGTAAACAGATTAGTGGAATTCACAAACCGGTTTTCAGATAATATCTTGTACAAGTTATAACAGACGTCAATAAATATATCCCTTTGATTATTATTTATGTTGTCAGTAAAACTAGAGAATCAAATAAACAACATATGGGTGTTTTGTTTTGTTTTGTTTTTTAAAAAAAGACAACTTCCTGATGAGAATCTTGAGAATTTAGCAATTGGTTAAGTGGCTAATAACAATGTAATTTTTTTTTAAGGGAATCATTTTCAGTCTTAGTAAGCTTTTGTAATACTTGGATTTTTCAAAGGTAATGTTGATTATAAGTAAATTCCCACAATAGCTTAATACATCTATACATGTGGGATAATGCCAAGAATCTTAGAAAAATGAGGTCAGTTGTTTTATGGTGTTCAAACACTTTATCCAGTGTAAGTGTGCTTTTTAAAAAAAAATATTTTCTTTAAAACAATTCAGATTGTGTAGATCATACTGAAAGGAAAGAAATGAAATACTAATATCCGTGGCATTTATGATCTAAATGTCAGTTATATACCAGATTATATAGCATTTCCAAAGAGAATACATGCTGTATAACAATATAAGCCAAATGAATTTCTTCTAAAAAATATCTTCAACTATAAATTTGCAAAGTAAAAGCATTTGTTTGATTTCCATATTTCAACATTTTGAAACACAATTTCTTTCCCTCATGGGAAGCTGTCTTGTTTTTCATCTTTCACAAATATTGTTACATAAATCTAACATCATCACTAAATATCCTGCTCTAGTTACTAACTATTCATAGCACTCTAAAAGTTTTGCTTTGAGAAACACGTACCTTTACTATATCTTAAAAAAAATAATAGAAATGTTTACATGATCCTTTAAAGATACCTATGCAACTGGCCCCCAAAAGCTCAATAATCCTTTTATATCTAAAACTGAAGTCAACTTGAATTTCATGTGACCTCTTCAAAAAAAAAATCATTTGGACAGGATATTCCACAAGTAATCAACTATATTCAATTACTGGATCTAACTATATTGACTGAGATAGGAGTAAACCCAATTAAATGCAAAGCAGTGAAAGTGGCTTAAGAAATGCTTGCAGAATCCCCTGTTGTGAATTCCACTAATAATTGATCTGATCCACATGACTAGAACAAACACGCACGCTGGAATTCAGTTATCCATCACCTTTCATACTTTATCAATATGCTAATCCAGTTCTGAGTTCAAGCAGCACATTAAAATGCATTTTCAGTGGAAGATACTTTGAATAGAAATGATAGAGTATATTCAATATTCAGCCCTGAAGTTTGTCTTATATAGAGTACTATATATAAAAGGGGAGTGAGGGAAAGAGAGAGAGAGAGAGAGAGAGAGAGAGGGAGGGAGGGAGGGAGGGAGAGAGAGAGAGAGAGAGAGAGACAGAGAGAGAGAGAGACAGAGAGAGACAGAGAGAGAGAAAGAGAGAACAGAACTCAGGGTTGTATGAAGTCTAACAAGAGGGCTGAAAAAAAATCTTGGATTTAGAGGAGAATTCCAGGGGGGAAATAGGAGTTTTGAATTGTTTAAATGGGTAAGACAACCATTTCACTCTTAAAAATTCATGAACTCCTCCCAACAATGGCTCTGTTTTTTATATTTCTTTATACAATGTATATGGCTGCCCAACTAGCAAAATATGATTCTGAGAAATAGGATTAAATATAGAACAAAAGAAACAATCAATATAAATTAACCATATGTACTGTATATACTGTCTTACTCCCAACAACTCTGGGCATTTAACAAATAAAAATGTTAAAAGCGGGGGGGGGGAATGAGCGAGAGTCCAATCCAACAGTGCACTACTTATGTTTTTATATTCTTCTTCTTTTCTCCATCCTATCCCATTCATACATTCAGGATCTGAATATAATACTGACGTATGAAGATTAATGGGAAAAGATCACTGTGCGATAATATCAACATCAACATTTAACATCCCTTGTGAGTCTTTTTGTGTCCTTGAAAAAAAACATAAGCTTAGAAAAGATGGGGTAGAGAGAGATTGTATAAGTCTTTCCCCCTGCATTTCCATTTTCTAATAAATTCTTTATAGAGAGAGCACAAGTGAAAAAAAATGATAAACAAAGCATAATTATGTGAATACAGAGATGTTTATGAAAAGTAATGTTATTTAGAATCCAGTATATTTTACTATAGAATCTAGCATGTTTTAGTGTGTGTGTGATTAATAAAGTAAACATTTTGCAAGGATCAGGTTTAGATTGCCAGTTCTAAATACTGTTCTAAATACTGTGACAGACTAAAGGGAATGAAACCGACTAAAGTTAAACCTAAGCATGACAAACTTGCTGTTTATTCTCTCAGTCAACTCTGATTTTTTTTCTTAAGGATTCCTCTCTGTTGGATAGAGACCTGTGAAGACTATCATGAGAAACCGTTTGCTCAACTTTGCCTGGATCACCAGCTGCTCTTGGACTGGAATTCATAATAAAATCTATGTCTAAAACCAACACACTAGCCTCAGATTCAATGGGACATAGTCAGCAAATATTACACAGGGTTACAAAATACCTGCTCCTTTTCTGCAGTCCACAGTTCCAGCACAAACTGCCCAGAGATCCATAGTCATTAACTCACATTCTCAATGAAGTAAAAAGAGAAGTAAAAGGAGTCCCTATGGATTTTACTCCACTAGCCATTGCTGACTATAGGGGGCGGTGTTCATTTCCATTGAAAGGCCATTGAAAGGCAGCGCTGGCTGAAGACATTTCCATGGTCATGTAGTCAGCATGACATCGCAGAGCACTGTTACCCCCCCTACCTAAGTGGTACCTAATTATCTACTCGCATTTGCATGCTTTCAAACTGCTAGGTTGGCAGGAGCTGGGGTGAGGATGGAGCTCACCCATTGCATGGTGCTCAGGTCTCAAACCTGAGATGGATCCTAATTAATTGGGTTTACTAGGATGTGCCTTATTTACTCCTGTTCTGAAAAGGCTTTATGAGCAAATAATATAGGCTAGAGAAGGACAAGAGGTTCACTAAAAATATCATTTCCTAATGTTTCATGAGAAGAAAGCAATTCTGAGTGGCATAATGTTTTCATTGCATGTTAAATCCTGGCATCTCCAGATAAAAAGATCGTAGGTAGCTAGACCAAAAAAGTATTGTTTGAGGCTTTGATGTTCAGCTGCTTGAGCAGATAACACTGAGATTGATGAATATATTGTTTGACCAAGCATTAAGTGGCTTTATATTGATTTTGGAATGTAACATTTGAAAATATTTGGATCAAAAAGTGAATGGCAGATGAGGGGGAGTCTGCAAATATCGCCTTCCTGCAGCAACAGAATGCTTAAAAGCCTGGGAAAAATCAGTATCAAATCACAATGGAGGATGCAAAGAGAGCATATTCCAATTGGAGATTATGGATGTGGAATAAAATAGAATAAGGATTAGGACAGAAGCCAGCACTGCAGGATATCAAGATGCTGGAATTCCACTGTGTAAAGTTGTCTGCTACTTATAGTATGTATTTTTCAAAGTTTGCCATAAATTTATATGGAATGTAAGCTGCATGAAACGCCAGTGTCTCTATTTGAATATTTATATTACAATTTGAATATTTATATTACAACCGAACCATTTATCACCATGTCGGACAACACGCACGTCGTACTTGACTCGTAACAGCTTGCAGGCCCACCCGGATGATAAGTGCACTAAAAATGAAAGTATTGGAATCAGAAGGGGGGATTACTTCAAAAAGAACAACTTGACAGGATATGGCTGTGAAAGGAATGTGGAATGTGTATTACCACCTGAACCTGGGGGGAAGTTAGAATATAAAGACAACCGAAACAACTGGAGTTGTCATCCATCCACCTCAAGGTTAAGAGAAATAAGGATGGATGAGGATAGACACGTAACCAAAAAGAACAAGGAAGAACAGGTTAACTGTACGCAATTGAATCAATCAGGCCCGATAACGAGATCAAGGAGCCGGGCGCAAACCTTGACACGCCTATAAAGGACTCTCTCATTCTCTGGCGCGCTAGCCCTGAGGATGCCGGCAGGTGACGGCGAAAGCTTGGCGCTTTTTAATTGAACTTTTATAGTTTTAATTAATTAAAAACTTTTACAGTTTTTATTACCCTGGTGTTCATTTTATCTTTTTACCATGAATACCCCCAGGGTTCACATTTTTAACTTTCTTTATCGCGAATATATATATATATATATATATATATATATATATATATATATATATATATATATATATATGTTTTCTGAGGTTTTCGCGGGTATCTGTATGTAGGTCTTTGGTTGTTCGGGTTTTCTCCCACGTAAAATTGGAAGTGTCTTGGCGACGTTTCGACGAAGTCCCATTCGTCATCTTCAGGCTGGTGCTTTCAGCTTCGTGCCTCGAGCAGCAATGTGTGGTCTTAGCTGTTTCTTCCTGGCAGTTAAAAGGAAGAAACAGCTAAGACCACACATTGCTGCTCGAGGCACGAAGCTGAAAGCACCAGCCTGAAGATGACGAATGGGACTTCGTCGAAACGTCGCCAAGACACTTCCAATTTTACGTGGGAGAAAACCCGAACAACCAAAGACCTACATATATATATATATATATATATATATATATATATATATATATATATATATATAGTTAATAATGCTAAAAATATGAACCCTGGGAGTATTCATATCAAAGAATAAAATGAACACCAGGGTAGTAAAACTATAAAAGTTTAATTAAAAAGCGCCAAGCTTTCGCCGTCCCTGCCGGCATCATCAGGGCTAGAGCGCCAGAAAGTGAGAGAGTCTTTTATAGGCAAGTCAAAGTCTGCGCCCGGCTCTTCGATCTCGTCACCGGGCCTAATTGATTCAACTGCGCTTGGCTGGTTTGTTTCTTCCTATTCCTCTTAGTTACGTGTGTGTCGTCGTCTCTCTTCCTTTCTTTAGGTTCTGGGATGGGTGGGGTAAATCCCCTACCGTTCTGATTGTCTCTATTCTTTAACCCATCTTCCCCATCAGGTTTGAGTGGTAATATGCGTTTCCCCTTCTTTTCCCAATCCTCGTCTGCCCGGCTGTTCTTTTTGCGATAGCCTTCTCTTTTGACTTTAGTACTTTCCCTTCCTATCCAACTGTCATCCGGGTAATCCTGTAAGTTGTTCTGAGTTGGCTGCGATATGATGGTGATCTGGGATGGGTTGATGGATTGTTTGTCTACTGGGAGGGCGGTCCCCTGGCTGTAGTTACATCCAGCCGTCTTACTTCTCCTCCCCCTTTCCTGAGTATCCTGCGTTCCTTTCGCACGCGCTGTAATTCGGAGGCTCGGTCTGGGAGAGGTGGTGGAATTACGGTCTTCTCGAGTATTACAGTGCTTTTCTTTCGCTCTCCTCTTCCTTCTAACGCTGCTCGTATTTGTGTGCGTATCGCGGGGGTCTTCGGAGTCTATGGGTGGAGGGCGTAATGGTTCGATCTCGTGAGTCTCACCCTCTCGCGTACTCCTCCATCCAGATTCACCCCTCTCCCTACTCCCTGAGGCGTCCGCGAGTCCATCATTGGCTTCGCTCCGCATTTCACACACCCTCAATCCAGCTGCCCCAGCCGAGTGGAGGGGTCGTCTCTTCCTCTCCAGGTCGGCTGCTTCGCTTCATTCCAGACACAAGCAAGTTGCCGGGTTTAACGATCCCCCCCCCGCCTCTATCCGCCACGTCCTCCTGTGTGTCGGTTACAATGTCTCTGATATCCGTGATGTGGGAAATCCGGGTCCTAGTTTCTGTCACCCTCCTGTTCCTTTGGGTCCGTGCCAACGTTGTAAGAGTGGTAGGAATGCTCAGCAATTGCTCTTCCTCATCTAGACTACACCGAACCAGTTGGGGGGTTGGCACGTTCTCCTTGGTATTGCTGGAGTTGTTATTAGGTCGTCGGTAACGAGGCAGCTGGTTGGTCGCACTCCACGATCTTAACGCCACATATGCTGGGCACAGGTCAACATGTCGATTAATAGAATTACTATTAGAGAGCCACGCCTCCCTAAGTAAGTGGCCTCCCTTGGTATTGTCACTTGCCAACATGCTAACTTCACTGAAGTTGAATCTATGACCCAGTTCTGCCATGTGAGCCCATATCTGGGAGTATTGATCCCCCCTTCTTACTGCCAATTTGTGCTCGTGGACCCTGGTCTTTACTCGTTTGGCGGTCTCCCCAACATAGTTACATGGGCAGTCCATACAATCAATCTTGTATATGGCTGCCGATCTTTCCATGCTGGGGAGCGGGTCTTTGGGACGCATAATGGCTGCCCGTAGCGTTTGATTTGGTTTATGCGCTACTTGTATGTTATATGGTGCCAAGATTCTCGCTGTAGCCTCTGAAATATTATGGATATAGGGGAGGGTAACTCGTACAGTTGTCTGGGGTGTAGGTTCTTGGGGTGCGGGGTTACTCCGGGGTTCAGATGGTTTGCTGAACCGGTTAACAAATTTTGCCGGATACCCATTGCGCTTACATATTTGGAAAAGGTGGTTTCTCTCTTCCCTCTTTGCTTTGGCAGTGCTGCAATGTGACTCCACGCGCTTAAATAAGGTTCTGACATAGCTGACTTTATGGGCAGTCAGATGGTTGCTCTCAAAATGGAGAATCCTATCCGTACACATTGGTTTTCGGTATACCTTGGTGGTCAAACATCCATCCAGTTGGCGCTGCACCAGTACATCCAAGAATGCTAATGTGCCCTGATTTTCTTCCTCCATGGTGAACTGGATGTCTGGGTATACCGAATTCAAGATGCCCATAAAGTCAGTCTTGTGCTGCTTCTTGATGACTACAAACGTGTCGTCCACATAGCGGGCCCAAAACTTTGGTTGGTATTGGCCCATCGCTATGTGTTCCAAGCGTTGGAGACCACCTCTGCTATTACGCTGGAGATCGGCGACCCCATTGGAGTTCCCTTAATCTGCTCAAATATAGTGCCCTGAAAGGTGAAGTAGGTGTTTAGGCAGACTCCCACCAGTTTTATAAGGTCTTCTGTCTGGAGGGAGTCCTGATGTTGTTCCTGGTCTCCTTGACTCAACCGGTCTCTTAAAACTGTAATCGCAAGTTCTTGTGGGATAGAAGTAAATAAAGAGACCACATCAAAGGAGACCATGAGTTCATCTTCCTCCACCCTCAGGGCCCCAATTTTGTTGAGGAACTCGTCTGCCGATCTCACAGTGGTATTGCTATTATTGGTCAAGTGGTAGATATGTACACTCAGCCACTTGGCCAGTTCAGAGGTGGGCGTGCCCTTGAATGCGACAATGGAGTGGAGGGGGACGTTGGGTTTGTGTATTTTCGGTAAACCATAAAACCTGGCAAGAGCTGAATCGCCAGGGCGTACCCTTTTCAACACATCTTCCCCCATCTTCCTATTCCGTTTTAAGTCATCAAGAAGCTTGTTGGTACGGTTCCTTAACGTGGTGGAGGGATCTTTACTCACTACTCTATAAGCGGCACTGTCTTGAAGCAATTCCAGCGCCTTATTTATATACACCCCTTTATCCATGACAACAGTTGCCCTCCCCTTATCGGCTGGAAGTATGACAATAGTGTCATCCTTTCTAAGTTGATTCAGGACTGCTCTTTCTTTCTCAGACAGCGTTTGATAGCGTCTATGGTTCATGACCAGGCTTGCGACCTGTTGCCTAACCAAGTTCTTAACTTCTTCACCTGCTCCAGTGCGCTGTAAGGCAGGTTCTAACGCTGCCACAAAGTCAAGAGTGCTCGCATCTGTAAGGTTATAACCCACATCCCGTTGTAATAGGGAGATTTGCGGCTGACTTAACGTTTTAGAGGATAAATTGCATACCACTCTTCCCGATGGGGTGTTGTTGCAGGAGTCCCGTAACGAGTTCGTTCTCCTTAGGAATATCCCAGTCATATGCCGAGTTGTCTGGTCCATAGTTCGTTGAATATGCTGGTCTAGCATCCAAAAATGCTGGTTAGTCAGCTCTGTGTTACAAAGGTCCCGATGGTCTTGGATCCACGTTTTTAAATTCCTTATTCTCCTATGTTGGTCGTTAACCAGCGCGTACAAAGTGCGCCGTTGAAATTGGCGGACTGCTTGCCGGCATTCTAAGGAGTCAACTGTTGGTCTTCTTCTCAGTGACTTTGGAATTAGGTTCTCCTTAATACAGCCATGAAGAAATGCCAGCTTACAGTAGTTAGCTGAAACGCGCCGTGCAAACTTCTCCCACTTTCTGGCTTTGAGCAAAACTGCTCTATTATATCCATGGTTAATAATGCTAAAAATATGAACCCTGGGAGTATTCATATCAAAGAATAAAATGAACACCAGGGTAGTAAAACTATAAAAGTTTAATTAAAAAGCGCCAAGCTTTCGCCGTCCCTGCTGGCATCATCAGGGCTAGAGCGCCAGAAAGTGAGAGAGTCTTTTATAGGCAAGTCAAAGTCTGCGCCCGGCTCTTCGATCTCGTCACCGGGCCTAATTGATTCAACTGCGCTTGGCTGGTTTGTTTCTTCCTATTCCTCTTAGTTACGTGTGTGTCGTCGTCTCTCTTCC